CCCCAAAACCCCAAAACCCCAAAACCCCAAAACCCCAAAACCCCAAAACCCCACGGAGCTAATATAATTTATGATGGATAAAGATAAGGATCAAATGGAGGAAAATGAGGGCACTGGTACAGGTGTCGCCCCACAAAAGGTTCAAATAGGCAAGTTGGTAAAGATATCAGGAGAAGACCAAGAACCACTCTCTCCTGATGATGAAGATGATGATAGTGATATCCCACAAGAAGGAGAGGAAGGATTTGATACTAATTTTAAAGATGTTGCAAAAAGGGTCACCGTCTCTAAAAAGCAAGTCCATGATGAGGACCAAACCTCAGAAGAGGAAAAAGCTGAAGTCCTTAGAATTGACTCTAAGAAGCAGATAGAAGACAGATTTGAAATTGTGGATAGTGAAACTCATGAGGAAGTTAAAGATCAGAAAAGGATTCCACTGAAACGTCAGAGTACTCTTATTCAGAAAGATGAAAACGGAGAGAAAGTTCTTGTCATTGAGGAAGATATTTCTCTTATATTTCCTCAAGGAAACAAATCAATCTTAGTGAAAATGAAGATATCCAGTTTTCATTTGACAATCACCCATGTAAGCTCTGCAAACCAGACTCCAGGAAACGACTCTTTTTCTGGTGGAGAGGAATCAGATAATCTGGAAGATAGGTTGCCTTTTTATGAAGATGGTAAATAAAATGCTAAATTGTAGATGAGTCACTTCAAAATTTGATACAAAATCAATGAGCAATGAAGTATCTTGAGATCCCCCTTGGACTCATATACAGTGTTACCAGACTTGATATATCTCCTTTTGAGGACGTCCTCATCATCACTACCAAGGATAATAGAAAAGTTGCACTTAAGTTAGGAAAAGAACAGGATCAAGAGGATCTTGAGAGCTATATTAAAAACAAAGCATTTTCTTTTAAAGTAGACTCAGATACTTCATTTATGAGCTATAAATATGAACCACGACAATATTTAAGTGGTAAAAATGGGTCTTCCTCTTTGAAAAGCAAAGGGAAGATCTTGGATATCCATATAGACGACCATCTTAAACTACCAGCCACTATAGTTGACGATATTCTTAAAGATACTCCTTTGGACGTAAATGGATGGGATGTCTATGACTTTGAAGAGGAGTTTATTAGACAAGGTGTTAATGTAAAAGAAGAATTATTCCAAGCAATTGAGACTTGGAGAGACAATGAAGAGAACACTTACCCGAGGAAAGCATTCATTCCAAGTGATATTTCCCACGGAGACGCCTTTAGTGCTTTTGAATTTAGATCAAGGAAAAGATTCCCGGCATTAAGTTATTACTTTTATGAGAAGGGTACCTCTCTTTGGAGATGCGCTCAGCCCTGTGTTGGATTTTTTAATTCAAGAAATAATGATGATGAAAAGCTTTTCAAAGCTATTAAAGAGACTTGTCCAAATAATAAAGGCCTTCTGATCGTAGATGCAAGATCCTACGTAGCAGCAAGTGGAAATAGGATCACAGGAGGAGGTACAGAAAATTGAGACAATTATGAGAATTCTGAGGTATTGACTTAAAATTTAATTTTAGATTCATTTTGCTGGAATTGAAAATATTCATGGAGTTAGAGATGCTTATAATCAATGCTTCCCATCATGGCAAGATCAGTGGTATACAACAAAGTATGATGATTTAATGAACAAGTTAAATAACACTAAATGGTTGAGCACAATTACTGCATTGTTGAAGGCTTCGAAGTTGATTTCAAATACAATGTTTAATGAGAGTAGAAACGTGGTTGTTCATTGTAGTGATGGATGGGACAGGACAGCACAGTTATGCTGACTATCTCAATCTATACTTGATCCATATTATAGAACATTCAAGGGACTTCAAGTCATGATAGAAAAGGAATGGGTCTCTTTCGGGTTCCAATTTGATAAGAGATGAGGAAACTTTGGAGATGAATATAAGTACGGAAATGATGTTTCACCAGTATTTGTCCAATTCTTGGATTGTTTATATCAACTACTCGACCAATTCCCTGCTGCTTTCCAATACAATAAGCATCTCCTTAAATTTCTGGCAATAGAAGTATACACATGCAAATTCTCAAACTTTATTTTTAATAATGACTGGCAAAGAAAATAAATTTGGGGAAGAACAAAAATGTGATCTAAAAGGAACAGTGTCTATTTGGACTTATGTAAATGACAATTGTCAAAGGTTCCTTAACCCTATATACAAGAAGAAAGATGATATCTTGAAGATAAAATATCACCCCTCCTATCTTAAATTCTGGGATGAATACTTCCTCAGTTGGTATGAACACACAGATAAAAACTCACAAACCTCAAACACAGATGCCTATAATGATATAGTTGAAGGCTATATTGAGAAATTTGAAATAAAAAGAGAGACCATGAATCTTGCAAAAGAAGCAAATAAAGAAAAGAAGAAATATGATGAGCTTATAAAGAAGATAAGTAAAGCCAGCAAAAAATAACCCAAGCTACATTTAGAGTTATCAATATATTTTATTCACTATGGGGTTTTGGGGTTTTGGGGTTTTGGGGTTTTGGGG